CGCTCTATAATTAGACGATCAGGATGAAGGAAGCACACATCTTAATCGGGTTTTGGATCCACCCATTTTCATCTTAATTTTTTTGTTGACACCTTAGAGACCGTTCATAAAGGACGTCCGTCCTTACAATTCTAGTCTTTTAGTGACAATATAATTTATAATTTCTCTTTGTTATAAAATATAATTCTCAAAAAATTTAATTACAAACTTGACACCCTACATTGTTTAAAATACAAAATTCAAAATTAAGGGTTATATTTTTCACAAATATAACAAAGGGGGGTAAGAAGAGTCTAAAAATAATTAAACGTGCAATCAGTTTGCATAATATTCTAATATTAGAATACTGTCGATTAATCTATGATGTATTTTTGATTTATTTAAAATTGCTTTCTAGGAGAAGAAAAGTGTAGAAACTAAAGCCCTCGGTGTCAGAAGAACGAATAGCATAAAAATAATGAACAGAGAAGCCGCCACGTCGGTGTCTCGGGTTGTGTATAAAAATATCCTAGGAGATATACGACGCCGTTACCAGGATTGGAGCTAATTACCACCCAGAAGCGACGTCCATATCCCTGGTAATAGTGAATCAGCTGACCCCCTATTGGCGACCGTAGAATCCGACCTCAGCGTCGACCTCGTCGATTTATTTGCTCGTAACGAGGTAAAAAGACCGGGAGAATAAAGGGAGGCAAATCGTAAGGGAAACTTTTACAATGCATCCGAGGTAATATTCATCGTCGTTCATATATCTTTCATCATCGGTGTCGTGTATCGTCTTTGATGGTAATCATGGCCTCCTGTTTCCATCGTTATTCTCGTTGTTTGTTACCATACGTCGCTACTGTACGATACAGAATGAGGAAAAGGGCAATCTTCACCCCGACAATTTTAACCTTCCTATTTATCAAACATTGGCGCGTACATTTTTATGGCTCGATTTAGCAGCCGTCTCGTATTAAAGTAACTGTAGTGAGATGAACATTGATTCACCTCTGCCAATTCCGATATAAAATTAGGTGTTACATACTGGATGATGATCTTTTGTTTCAAGCGTTTAGAACAACTTTGTGCCATTTTCTCATGATTACAATCAGACTTTCTAATATTCTAATCGCATCTTTGTTGAACAACCTAACAAACTTCCAGCTGTCATCAGTGTCATTGTACCTTCTATTTTATGAAGCTGATCAGTTTCACGTCCATATCAAAATCTACCATCAGATGACTCAAACATTACCAAGCACATAGGTTGAAATAAAGAAAAAAATCTTGAGAGAATATATGCATCCCGATCAACTGTAAACGGCAACAGGTTTAGTGACAAAAATCTCATCGGTACTGTTCGATGATAGACGGACAACCGTTACGTGAAAAACGTCACAATGAGAAATCCTTCATCATCAGAACGAGACAGCCAGCATACTAATGTACATAATTTTATCAAAGTTGCACTTTGTCTCTAGCTACGTTTAAGTTAAACCGTCGATGCAATCTTGCCAAGAGGAAAGCCGACGAAATGGTGGAGAGATCAGTGAGAATCATCGAGAAACAAGACCTCAACCAATTACGGCTAGTAACTATCATATCGACGCTAAGGATCTTCGTCTCGTACGAGGTGCGAGATAACGAAAGATATCTTTTTATCCTATATACTTGGTGTCGTGTAAATTATGTTACATCCAGGTAAATTAGAATTTTTAATTTTTCATGAAAATTTCAACTAAAAATGTGGAGTGATATTTTCTCATATGGGGCTTTGTTTTGGAGAAAATTCACTGTCAAATAGTAGAACTCGATATTGCAAATTAGACATTATTCAAATAATCAAAAGAAAATAGTAAAAAAATATTATTTAGAATAACACATTAATAACGCAAAGCAGAAAACTGGAACTTGAAAATTAATCAGTTACATTAATAATTAAGATAGCTAATTAAGATAGACAGATTGAAATTAGGAATTTGAAAATTAACTATTCCTATGTTTTTAATAATGAGGGCTTCAATTTATATTATATAAGACACCCTGTATATCGTATGCGTATGTTACGATGTGTGGATACGTTCGCGATTCTGCGATACACGTTAGCTGATAGGATCTTTAACTGTTTCGGTATCACCAGGATATACGGGGTGAATCTTTTATAAAGTGATCAACGCAATTATCTTGGAAACGTGAAAATCTTGGGAGCATCTAAAAATGGGAGCGATGTAAGTCAAATTACCAGTAACTTTCACGATCCTACTTTAGAAAGGAGAGTTTCATTTTTATCTTATTAATACTCAAAGCTGCATGCTATATATTTTTTGAAATATGGAACAGTGTAAAATTTCAAAATGGAAATAATATAAAATACAAAATTAAATTAAAATCGGGGCTCTTCCCATGGTCCTCTGTCGGAGGGTTAAATGACAAACATTGGTAAAATTAATAAAATAGGAGCCAGAGTGGGTCTAGTCCCCTCATCATTGTATTATAAAACTTTACGATTCTAAAATTCCAAAATTCCAGAATTTGAAAATAAAATTTCATATTTCCAATACAAAAATCAATGACTTTTTCCCTAATAACCAAATTTATGGAAAAATAACCATTGTGTGCTAAAGATAAGACTAGCAGAGTCATTCAAACGGGATTTCTTCTCAGCCCGTAGTTTAATAGCACAATTAATCAACGCTGTCGTCCGAAACAGTCGGTCGAAATCTTTCTTAGGTAAGTACAAAACGGTGATCTGCGTATAAATCCAACAATTTAAAATGAATTTATAGATAGGTATAACAAGCGTGTATATACGAGTCACGTTTATAGCCCTAACAGATTTACTACGAGTTTTCTTTTTGAAATTTTGCGAGCATTCACTTTGCAAAGTCGATTGCTTTTCAAGTCATTTGTCACCGATCGGTTTCTAACGGAACGACAATAGAAAAAATATTAGATTGTTGCATATCAAATGGCAAATTTGGAAAGATAAAAGTCTGACATAATTTGATGACATAAAAGTATCGCAAAATGGCACTTAAATAAATCAAATTAAGGTTTAAGATTCTATAAAAATAACTATATAAACATTTCATTAATATTCTTAATACAAATTGGATAATTTTTTAATTGAAAATTTATACATATCTAAGTCGGTCGTTATTTACTATAATTGGCAGCCAGCCATTTTGTATTAAGAATATTGATCAAACGTTTATACAGTGATTTTTATGAAACTTGGGGCTTTAAATTGATGTATCATAAGTGATATTTCCTAATACTTTTATGTCATGAAATTATGTCAGAGTTTATAGGTTTCAAAATCCATCATTTCATATAGAACGACCTATAAAAAACATGGAAGAAAACTGTTGGGTATTTATCAAAGCCATAAATACGTGGAATTAAATTCATAAGAAAAGGAAAGATATTAAAACATGAATTTACGACGTCAACGCATAAAGGCTTTCAATTATATGGAAGCACTTCGCTCCGTATTAATATGGATGTAATATTTTATACGGCTATAATTACTCGTAACTGTCTAAGGGGATATTTTCCTAAACGTTCATACCAGGTGAGTAATCAATGAAAAAAAAGCACGTCTAAAGCGTTTGTATCGCGATAATATCGCTAATAACGTTGTTCCGTGTTTACAGTTACGCGAATCGATGATGATAACGTAAAAGATGACAGTTATCAGCAATATGGTGAGTGAAAAAATTATACTAATTGCAAAATTAAAGGAGAAGTTAATTTTACCTGTTTATCAGGCTTGGCGTTAATTACCCTGCGGTGACTAATTGTCAAAGTTTATTACTTTAAAACAAGTTTACATATTTCAAATAATAAAGACCTCAAGTGATAAGATATGTATGCTTTTCTTTTAAGTGAAAGTAATATTAACACGTTTAGTACTGTGCGCTTCATCTATGACCCAAATAAAAAATTGAGAAAATTATAATATTTTAATTAAGAAAAATTAATCATAAGCGCAATTTGTTAATATTTATTTTATCCCCATTCTTGCAAAACTGATATTTAATTATTTTTATGTAAAATCTATTTTTAGATTTTTTATTTTTATCAAACCACCTCATCAATATTATAAATAATAACAATGCGTTTATGCTCTTGCAGTTACAATAATATTTTGTTTTAATATTAACACCCACCATTAACTTATAATTTGTTATCAGTAATAACGATAAATAATGTTCAATAATGCTGACAATACATATTAAGGATCTGGAAAATCTTTCAAATGGACAACAGTCACTAGATGATCGTTACTCGATGTGGCTGCTGCCTTCGGGTATATCCTGGCGAACAGCCAGACCCAAAGGGAAGGCAGAAGAAGGAAGAGACGAAGAAGAGGTGGTAGTCCCTCCGCTCGGTTTTTCAAGCGAACAGGGAGGGCAAGAGAATCTGATTGCGCGGGATTCCCGCTTTGAAGTGGCACCGCCGATGTTCTCGGTCATCTCAACTCGTTACCAGTACGGAATCGCCACTCTTTCCGCGATATCTTTCCTTCGGTTTCGTTCACCGGGTCAACTCGCCACTCTATTCAATTTCTTGCTAATTTCTCTATTTAACCTTTTCCCATACGATTTATTACATTGCTAATAAATACTTTGACTACCAATCAAAAATTGTTAAATGTTTCATTGGGAGGTATTTTTATTTTTAACTTTGATTTAGTGTTTTGTAATTTGATGATGACAATGACAGATTTCTATGGAAATTATTTGTATTATTTCTAATTTCAATATAGATATTCTTAGGGGGTGCTTATCGTTAGATAAAATAATTTTTAATAATATGAGGGATGGATTTCTATAATCAGCTGAATTTTATCGCAGAGGAATTGGAAAGTTATCAGAAATATAATAAAAAATTATTAACTCAATTGGTGGTAATTAAAAACTGTTATTTGTTTTTTCGCACAGCACAAAACGTGTTAATTAAAAAAAGAAAGAGGTAAAAGAAGTAAAAAAGTCTTATTCGAATACACTTACTCATTTTCAATTTTCTCCATAAAATCTCCGTAACTGAACATCCGTTAGATTCATCTGAAAAAAAGGAAAAAAAATGAACATTAAAGTGAATTCACTTCAGATAATAACGTGTTATTATACGGTGTGCCCGATCAAAAGCTCGTCCAAGGGTATTTTCAATGTTTTTAAAAGATCGCACCAACAATATAGAAGCAAGGCACGATACAAAGAGCCGAAATCTTAATTACCCAACGGACAGCCACTTTTCAATTTCTCACCTTGCCAGGGGCCATGGCAAAAACTCAGTGGCTATGTGTACCTTGGAATATGGCGTGATGCCATGCTGACATGCTTTATAACTCCTGCTTCTTGTGTTCTTCACGAAACGCTATAGAGTTGTTCAAATTATTAAATATTATCTTGCACCAGTTAATACTTTTTAAAAATTGCAAAGAACAGCAAAAAGTAATAGCATCAAAATTTTTGTTTTTAATTAATTGATGCTTTCTCGAAAATTGGACCTGTTGCCTACTTTGACCCTATACTAATTCAGTTTCATTCCTCCAATGTAACACACTTGTAACGGCAACGAGGTACACGTATAAGTGTGGTACACCACGATATCGTGGAATCCGCGAGTGGCGCTGACTGGCCCCAGCAAGAAGATAATGCGCTCACCGAACATTTCGGATTCCAGCAGCACCAAAGAATAAGATTCTCTTTCCAACTCCTTTCTTTCTTTCGTCTCTATCACACGTGCTCCTTTCCCTTCTCGTTGTGTACCTCTGGGTTCCTTGACTTGTCGGATAATTATGTTCCCGGGCCCTTATTCGAACCTCTCCATAAACGTATCGAACTCTTCTCCCGATTCAGCTTCTTCTCTTCCTCCATCGATTCGCTTCTACTCAGTTTTCAGCCCCCTCTTCTTTTTCACCCTCGCTGTCTTTCCATCCCGAGCGAATTTCTTCCTCTTGCCTTCGTTCTTCGACCGTCTCACGCCTTCTTCGTTTTACTTCCTTTCGTCTTTTTAATAGACAGTGCGTGTCGTTGTCGCTCATCCGTGGACGTGACACATCGTCTTCCGTCTGATTCCGGATCCACAGCCACGAGACTGACCCACGATCGACCATCCACAGAATCTGCGCTTTTTTTATTCGTCTATTTACACGAACGGGACATATCGTTTTTGGACAACTTGATGAAAGACGGAGCGAAAAGGATCAGTTGAGGAAGTGGATGGGAAGCATATTATAGGACCCTTCAAGACTTGTTGGGTTTTAATTTGCAGGTGGAACAAATTTTAATTTAATCTTAAAGTGAAAGGTGCAAAAAAAGTAATTTCTGATTACCAAAATCATTAAAAACAAATAATAGCAATAAATAATTTTTTCAAATAATTAGAATGCAATACTGTTTAATTATTAAGTCCCAATTTCTGGGACTTAAATAATTTTAAGAAATAATTTTCAACAGTGTATTATAGGGCTCTTCAAGACAATTTGTAAACTTCTCCAAATTTATATTCCTTTTCCTTCTACCTGTATTAATTATTTCTTTATATTAAATGGAATATAGCTGATGATTGCTGGTCAACGACTGACTAAAATTATACCACAAAGTAACGAAATCGCGTGAAAATTTGCTGGTTAAAATGTCAAAAATTGAAGGCGATGTTAATTACAGTGCCACAGGTAGACGATCGCTGTTAAACAACAATTCCTGATTCGATAATGGTGAAGCGACTCGACTCGCAGTAAACGTCCTGTTTCGAAATCGGCTCCTAAGAATTCTGCCAGTGCAGAGACGGTGCACAGATTTCCAGCTCTTCCAACACGAACGAAAGAGAAGCAAAGGGGGCAATTACATCGGAGAACAATTACAGGTTGGCACGTCCACCCGGTGCCATCGCGGCTTTTTCTATCCCCGAGATTCCGAGTTGAAGAACGTCCAGGAACGTTTTCGAGGAGATCCGAGAGGGTGGGTCGAAGACATTTTTATTACCGTTCAAACATTTTAGCCCGTAACGAGCAACGGCCAAAAGGCTTATTGTCTACTGTCAGGAGCTCTCAAACGTTTGTTACAAAAAAGAAATTTTAACGAGACAATTCGAAGATTCCAAGGTTCTGAAATAAAAGAATTTAAAAGTTTCAAGATCCTAAGGTTCTAAAATTAAAAATGTTAAATTTCCAAAATTCTAAACTTCCAAAATTCTAAGCTCCCAAAATTTTAAGTTTCCAAAATTCTAAGCTCCCAAAATTCTAAGCTTCCAAAATTCTAAGTTCCCAAAATTCTAAGTTCCCAAAATTCTAAGTTCCCAAAATTCTAAGCTCCCAAAATTTTAAACTTCCAAAATTCTAAGCTTCTAAAATTCTAAGTTCCCAAAATTATAAGTTCCCAAAATTCTAAGCTCCCAAAATTTTAAGCTTCCAAAATTCTAAACTTCCAAAATTCTAAGCTTCCAAAATTCTAAGCTCTCAAAATTCTAAGCTTCCAACATTCTAAACTACCTTTATAAAATCTTTCAAAATGGAAAATATGTCCCAGCCTAAAAAAAGATCCAATCCCATCAATAACTATTACCAAACAATATTGAATTATTTTAAAAGAAAAATGCGAAAGTTTACAAATAACGCAATCGTCCTACACAGTGTATACGTACACATAATTTCTCGATGATGTAGCGAACTTCTATGCAAGTCCGTCGATATTGATGACTTATCGGTTTATCGTTGTGTCCACGTGGATCTCGCGATAGAATTAGGGGTTAAGTTAAGCTAGGTCGTGGCTCAGGGTCAAGAGGTTACATGTCCGGGCGACGTGCCGCGATGATTGGCGGAATGTGCCGTTTTACGAGGCTTCGAGGACGCGTACCTATACGAGGGGACGAAAAAAGCATAAAACGACCGACTCAGCCACCACGAGGAAAAGAAGACGACGAGGAGAGAAGAAGAAAAGACGATACTGGAAGCGCGCGCCGTTGCAGTTATAATTTGATGCAACGCGGCTATAAAGGAGATTACGCGAATAGATGGCTATAATTTTCGTGGAAAATGGCCAAGAACCCTTTTACCACTCTTCGAGACGACACGTCGATGACCTTCACTTTACTTCCTCTCTTCTATCTATCTTAACATGAAATTCCAATATGTATCCTCTACTGTTACCATTATTTTTATTATATTTCTCTTTAAAAAAATGAACCTCTGCAATTTGTTACGAAATATGTGAAACAAAATACTTTTTGCCATAATTCACCAATTATTGCTCTTTCCTCTTTACTCATTCAAAATAAAAAACAAAAAGTTGAGCATAATTCACCACTTATCACTTTTTCCTGCACCCCATGTTATTCAGAATGAAAAAAAGAACGATTTTTTTCCCCCAGAGAAGTGCACCGTGCGCTACAGTCAATATTAGTTTAACCCCCCTGTAAAAAATGCATCATGTTTCAGTAAAAAAAAAAAAAAAGCATTGCATTATGGTTAACCGAACGTCTCCTACCATTAGTGATATATCGTACCACGTGGAGTGTTATCAAAGCATTATAGACAATCATTATCCATTCCGCTCGTTAGGAGAGTGAGTGAAAGGGGTGGATCCGTGGATGGTGAGGTAAGCAGAGCAAAGAGAGAACCGCGGGATGGATCCATGGATCGAACGGTCTGCTGGAGCTCATTTAAGGTCAGCCGTAAACGAGCTGAAAGGTCGGCAAAAGGGGTGGTAGGGCGTGGCGGGCATAAACAAACCTCATGCCATATTTCGCAACAACAAATCAACTCGACACCTCGTGGCGCTTCGTATAATCAGCTAATTCGCGATAACAACTTAATTCAGGCCTCCGTGGCCCCGATTAAACAAAGCGTAACTACTTAATTCGTTTAACGAGCGGTGTTGCGCGGTAGGGCGAAACAACACACCATGCCACTTTCCTAAGGTGCGAACTTTACGCGTACCGGTCACGTCGCCGTTTTTCTCAGTGATTTTCAACCCGAATCATCAACTATTCACTTTAACTGATGTACATTTATCAAACGAACGAAAATTATTAATACAAACTTTAAGATGTATTATAATAGACGGGTGATTTTGAAAAATAAAAATTCTGCTATACTAATGAAATATTAATTAAATGTTTGAGCAGTTATTTTGTTTAAACTATGAGGTTTAAATTGATGCGACATAGGTGATATTTTATTGTACTTTTATGTCATCAAATAATTTAACAAAGTTGGGAACCACTAAGTTGCAGGACTGATCGAAGCCAATCGATTCGTCCGGTCATTACACGGTAATGATCATTACTACACGGCACATGTGTTCCTCGAACTGGTCGATCTCACCCGAAATTCGTCTGCCTCGACGTCATCGTCATTTTTCTACTCGTCTCGAAGGAGTTACTATGAAAACGCACCCTCCAACTAGTGCCTTCTGTCTTCTTACGTTATTAAATATTATAATATTTAGTATATTTTAGTTTATATCTGCATTTTAAAATATGCAATTCATTTATAATTTGGCAAAATATAAAAATTCAATTTCTTTAATTTCTCAAGTTCTTCAAAAATTTTATTTTAAATTAATTTTTTTTTTAACTGTTTACTCTTACATCGTTATTTTCTACATCCATTGAAAGATGTAAAGAAAATATAAAGAACCTTGTAAAAGGACAAGTTTACGTATCTTTAAAGCGTTTCTCCTCTCTTACAAGAGTTCACCAGGTGAAATATGGCTGTTTGAACCCGGACATGTTTCCTGTTACTTTTACAAACGCCAATTCCGGCTCGCAACATTCCAAACTATACACGAAACCACCGAACACGATAAGAAGGCATTTTCTACGAAAGGAAAAATCATTTACTGTTACTCGGTGTACCGTATTGTATCGAATAATCACTCGTGTTATTCTCCACTAGTGGTATACTAATTTTTCAATAATCCCGATGCTGTTAGCTTCAAATGCAAACTAGAATTTGCGAGTCATTGCGAGAAATGTTAATAAATTCGTGAATGAGTCATTACACGATGACGTTACATGAAACATTGCTTTGATATTATAACAAATGAAATTGAAAATA